GTCGATTTTTTCTATAAAGAAGAAAATATTCGTGAGTGTCTATGAACATTACTTTAGTAATTATTTATTATTTCAAATATTATTTACAATCTCAACAATTATTTATTATCTCAACAATTATTTATTATCTTAACGATTATTCGAACAATCACCAAGTTCAAAGGGAATTCGACACGCAATGTACTTATTACTGTTCTGTCTTTTTTATTATCAAGGCATAGTAACTAGGAGTATGAAATGTGGTCACGAAGGGATATAACACGCGACATGACCCCTGTCTAGTTACTACCCTTTTGGCGTTAAGGGATTCGACACGCAATACGCCTCACATTTCTACTAGTGCTGATCTGTGCAATGAGTATGAAGGGATTAAACGCGCAACATACTCGCTCCACATACTAGTGCTTGACCCCGAAGGTCGAATTCAGAGCAGTGCAATGAACAAAAAGGATTAAACGCGCGATTGTACGCTCCAGATATCATTTTGATGTGCGCACGAATAATTATTAAATTAGTATTTAAAACAGTTATCTTTGTAATCTAATCAACAATTAAATATCAATAAATATTAAAAGGCATTTATCTAAAACTTAAATACTAAAGAAAGAGGAGACTCAGTGATAAATCTCACCTGCAAATCCTATCACCCACAATTCACAATAAATCAAGCTTTTCACAAACTGCACCTACAACCACCGAACAGTATCTTTCTGAAACATTAAAATAACAGAATGCCTCTATTTAATTTCAAGTAACCTAAAACATTCGAAATCCACCATGGGTAATAATCATAAATCAGCGCCTTTATTGTGATCATTTAAAATGCGGATCGAAAACGTTGACAAAATAATATCGACAACTATCTGTGCGCTGAAGCATCTTCTTATATTACCTTTTCCTAATACCAAAACATATCGAGAAACGAATTTAAAGAAAATCAAATAGTACAGGGTCTTAATTTGTATAAATAAAATGATATTTTCAGAAGTGGTGTAGATCAGTGTTATACTTTCGATGCGATTATAAAAAAGTAGGAATATTTAAACCAAAAAACTCACATATACTTTATTAATTGATAGTTATAGATGATATATATTGGAAATTCGAAATAATAGTTATGACGTAGCGGTGTTCCTCTTATTGTAATCAAACCCTACCTACTTAAATAATTGTTTAAGAAATAATAATTTTGGATTATGTAATGGTTCAAATTTAGGATTCACCGATTTTTATAAGTTTTATAGATGTATGAAAATCAATAAATTAAATTATAAGATGGTCTTTTGTATTATGAATATTGGTTAAGAACACAAGGATGTGGTTGTTGTGGTTGTATGTGATATTTCTCAGTAAGGAAATAATGTTTAAACAAACCATTGTAAATACCGTCTTTAATTATTAAAGTGTTAAGTATCCTGGTTTTTAATAATATGTTAGTGAATATGTAATTAATAAACAAATCAAAATTTCTTGAAATTTAGTTTTAAGAGTGTTATATACAGTGTGTCTACTTAAGTTGGAACCATATGAAAAACTTTTTTTTGGTTTTTTGAAAAAATTTATTCCTGAAAAAAAGTTCTGCATGATCCAAAACTTAAAATACAACCATTAGATATCAATTTTTTAAGACGTATATACGAGGTTCGTCAAAAAATATGATTTTTGATAAAGAGTAAAGTACCTTTATTTTTGACAAACCTCTTACACGACTGATAAAATTTGATATCCGATGGTTGTATTTTAGGTTTTACACCATGCTGGACTTTTTATGAAGAATAACTTTTTTTCCTAATATTAATTTAAATAGTAATAAGCATGGACATTGCTTTCCTATCTAATTCAAGCCAATCACCCTTCTCCTTGGAATCATTTCAGTCAAGCCTTTGGCACGTAAAATTACCTGAACATGATATTTCCATAGTTTGAAATTAGCACCAATCAAACGATGGACAACACTACTATCTTCTGGATCATCCATTATCAAATTTGTGCGTCTACTAGGAGTATGTACTTCTTTAATGAGAAAAAAGGTACGGAGACCTCTTTCTCAAAAAAATTTAACAGATTTTTATGGCAATGGAACAATTACCTGGGCCCATAACCTATTAAAATATGCTTTTGAAATTATTTATTGGGGGATACAAAATATACAACATAAAATAATATAACTGACGTTGATTATTTTAATCTGACATATAAACATCAAATCAATAGTAACGCCTACATAAACTAAAGTAAGTCTAAGTGAACAGCGTATATCTTAACAGAATAATTACAAATTGATTTGATTCAGACTTAAATAATATGAAATTTCTCCAAATTTCCATTAAATGTGGAAATGCCAGAAAAAATGTATTTCAAAATAATTCTATTTAAAATTAACAGACTATTATTTAATATAGGCGCCTAATAATTGTCGGCTGTCTCTTTAGCTTTACAAGTAATTAGATAGACGTTTGAGGGATTAGGTATTATTACTGGGAAATTGGTCTCTTATTTATTTAAAGAAAATATGAATTTAGTAAACATTTAAGAAAGCGTGAAGCATTACACGATTCTTGAGCTTCCAAGTTTATTCATTTACATATTATCTTATTGTAAAGAATGATTTTCGATTTAGGTTTTTCTTGTAGTATTTATCTTTTGTTTTTTAATATTATTAATTAATAAGTAATTAAAATATTTCGTGGTTATGGTAAGTACTTTAAAACAATTACATTATGATAGATATGATTAGTTATGCTAGAGATATAGGAAATAACGGATAAACTGGGTATTTTCGAGAACTATTTGTTTTATTAAGATGCTGTGGTTTTATTTTATATTAAGTAAGTCAAGTGGAGATACTAATAATGTAATAAGTATAAAATAAAAATGACTATTCTCAAAACCTCCGTAAAATATATCAAAAATAATTACATATAAATAATTTCATGAAAGAAAATTAATGAATTTTCTATTATTTTTCTACATATATATAATAATAATGATCACCAGTAATAATTCACATTAATAACTTTATAAAGGAGAATTATATAACACAATTTGCTTGTGTTTTCAATAATTAGCAATAATATTTAATTGATCATATTATTATATCTACATATGCAAGGCTAGGTTCAATTTATTTTATTAAAATTGTACCGACAAATTATTAACGAGGAGCTCCCATGGTAAAGTGTTATCGATCGAATACACTAAAAATATAATAAAAATATAGTAAAAATATTTGTAAAAATATAGTAAAAATATAGTAAAAATATAGTAAAAATATAGTAAAAAATATAGTAAAAATATAGTAAAAATATAGTAAAAATATAGTAAAAATATAGTAAAAATTAATATAGTAAAAATATAGTAAAAATATAGTAAAAATATAGTAAAAATATAGTAAAAATATAGTAAAAATATAGTGAAAATATAGTGAAAATATAGTAAAAATATAGTAAAAATATAGTAAAAATTATAGTAAAAAATATAGTAAAAATATAGTAAAAATATATTAAAAATATAGTAAAAATATAGTAAAAAATATAGTAAAAAATATAGTAAAAATATAGTAAAAATATATTAAAAATATAGTAAAAATATAGTAAAAATATAGTTAAAATATAGTAAAAATATAGTAAAAATATAGTAAAAATATAGTAAAAATATAGTAAAAATATAGTAAAAATATAGTAAAAATATAGTAAAAATATAGTAAAAATATAGTAAAAATATAGTAAAAATATAGTAAAAATTATAGTAAAAAATATAGTTAAAAATATAGTAAAAAATATAGTAAAAATATAGTAAAAATATAGTAAAAATATAGTAAAAATATAGTAAAAATATAGTAAAAATATAGTAAAAATATAGTAAAAATATAGTAAAAATATAGTAAAAAATATAGTAAAAATATAGTAAAAATATAGTAAAAATATAGTAAAAAATATAGTAAAAATATAGTAAAAATATAGTAAAAATATAGTAAAAATATAGTAAAAATATAGTAAAAATATAGTAAAAATATAGTAAAAATATAGTAAAAATATAGTAAAAATAATAGTAAAAATATAGTAATAAATATAGTAAAAATATAGTAAAATATAGTAAAATATAGTAAAAATTATAGTAAAAATATAGTAAAAAATATAGTAAAAATATAGTAAAAATATAGTAAAAATATAGTAAAAAATATAGTAAAAATATAGTAAAAATATAGTAAAAATATAGTAAAAATTATAGTAAAAATATAGTAAAAATATAGTAAAAATATAGTAAAAATATAGTAAAAATATAGTAAAAATATAGTAAAAATATAGTTAAAAATATAGTAAAAATATAGTAAAAATATAGTAAAAATATAGTAAAAATATAGTAAAAATATAGTAAAAATATAGTAAAAATATAGTAAAAAATAAATATAGTAAAAATATAGTAAAAATATAGTAAAAATATAGTAAAAATATAGTAAAAATATAGTAAAAATATAGTAAAAATATAGTAAAAATATAGTAAAAATATAGTAAAAATATAGTAAAAATATAGTAAAAATATAGTAAAAATATAGTTAAAAATATAGTAAAAATATAGTAAAAATATAGTAAAAATATAGTAAAAATATAGTAAAAATATAGTAAAAATATAGTAAAAATATAGTAAAAATATAGTCAAAAATATAGTAAAAATATAGTAAAAATATAGTAAAAAATATAGTAAAAATAAATATAGTAAAAATATAGTAAAAATATAGTAAAAATATAGTAAAAATATAGTAAAAATATAGTAAAAATATAGTAAAAATATAGTAAAAATATAGTAAAAATATAGTAAAATATAGTAAAAATATAGTAAAAATATAGTAAAAATATAGTAAAAATATACTAAAAAATCATCAAATTCGACCGAAAGCCGTTATAAGGAAACTGTTGATTTCTTGTATCAAAATATAAACAATAAATAATGTATCAGTATTTTCAATGGTTTTTAATCAAGCCAATTTTATGTTGTTTCAGAAATGGACCAATCTACTCAAGTAAACTTCCCCATAGTTCCTAGATTCGACAAAAAAATATGGAGGCACAACACATCGGCAGATCTGTTTTCGTCGCTTCCCAGTCAGAGAAATTTAACACCTACTAACTCTTGGGTAAGTCAAATTGTAAACAATATACCTATCTTTCCATAAAAAGTTAGTTTTTATAAAATGCCTTATACAGATCATTTAAAAATTAATAATATATGCATCTTGATCTAGACCTATTATATAGACCAGTGGTCCCCAATCGATGGTCCGTTAGATCTTCATCTGTTGAATTAAACTATCTTTAAAATAATTATCACAACTTTGGTTTATATGTGGCAAATTAATTGTAATTTTAAATTCGAAGAAAAAACAGAGTTTTTTTTTGTTTCGGACGCTGATTTTTCAGCCTATATTCAATGTTAGCACCATTGATATTATTTTCAGGTTTATATAACGCAATAAATTATCCGAACTCAGCTTCGTCTAACTGTATTTGCGTGCGGAAAAGTAACCCGTTGCGCACTTGTTAGGAAAATAACTATTTCAGATCTTGAACAATTCCAAGGCCTCCACATAATGCATTAATTACAACAAAAGTCACAAATCTCAGTTAGGGCTGATCTTTTCACCTCTGGAGTAAAGTTACATGTAGGTTCACAGACAGAAATTTGTCGAAGTATGTAACCAAGAATGAGTATTTTAAATTCAGCATGACTAATTTTTAATTGAAGTAAAATATTCTTTATTTGAATCCTGGCATTATTAAATTAACATTGACGTGTTCAATTTTTGAATCAAAAGCTACAAATAAGCACCAACATTGTTAATTTCAAAAAAAATTAACGATTTTTTTCATGCATACTTAAAAATTTCTTAAATAAAGATTGCGGCCGTGCTTTGCTCAAAAACAAGCCCGAAAATGCTTATTTTTTGTTTAAAATGAGCAATAATTTCTTTCTGTGTTTACTTGACAGATTAACAAACAATAGCCCTATAGTTTAATCACTGTAATATTTCTGGTATACATTTTTTGCCGAACTATGTATGTTTCGAAAAAAATCAGTTTATTATTGCAAAAAAGTCCAAAATTTCCTGACGAATAATACATGACGGCAATGCCGCCATAACCTCAAAATTAAGAACTAGTCAAAGAAAGCCACTCTACACAGTATGAGGGCAGAGAGGAAATTTATATAGTCAAATCATTTTAGGATTTCTTGTATGCCAAATTTGGAAATAAAAACTTGATACTTCCAATAAATGTTGCCAGTGATCCAAATAAATTTTGATAGTTGCATAATAAATATGTTATTACTTATCTAGATAACATAGATAAATTAATATAAAACAAGATGAATTTATTAAATGCCCGCCACTGTCAACACGGCGTAGTTCCCAGCATACTATTAGTTAGCGCCACCATCGCAATAGTATGAAAGCGATGTTGCCGGTTTCCGTAAACTTTCATGAGATGATAGTTATTTCAAATTCATTTTATTTTAATTTTTTATCAATCTACATGCGCACCATACCATCCATACAATGTCCATACTATTGCTGAGATTTTTAAAAGACGGGATTGACAACCTTGTAAAAAATGAAAAACGTGATGGCGGAAGGCGGGATATGATGATAAAATAAAACTTATTTTTATTTTATGATGTAAGTTACATAGGTAGGTAAGTTATTTTTAGGTTAAGAAACAAACGGTGCTGATTTGATGTAATTAGTAAGTATTAACTTTAATTTAATATTAAGTATTTAAGGACTTTGTTTATCATTGTTTTCTTAGCCTTAACGATATATAGGTATCTAATTTCATATTTCAACAATTCCTTTTCTAATATTTGAAACAAAAATGTCTGGCCCGGGTATAGTTAAGTATTCTTGTTCAGCTCCTAATTGTTTAAATAAGTATTATTCTAATATTCAGCAAGTTGGTTATTCAAATAAAGCATTTTTTCATTTTCCTTCTGATGTTAAAGTTCGCCAGAACTGGTTTAAGAATTTAAATTTAACTTTAGATAATAATACTCGCTATCTTTGTGAAGATCATTTTTTGCCAGTCTTTTAGTAAGGTTTCCTCAAAACGTAAACGACTAGTTGTACATTCTGTACCAATTTCTTTAGATAATTATGCATCCAGTTAAAATATACAACCCGAGAGCCAGATTTCAGAATATATTGAGGCTGAAGCACAAACACAGCAGCATAAGATAGATTTGCTAATCAGCAACGAAAATCAAGAAATTAGTTGCAAACGTAAACTAAATATTAGTGATGTACAATTTGAACAACCCTCCAAACGGAGAAAAACTGTTTTGCAACAAATAAATGAAAGTAAAGTCAAAAATTTAAGTCCCAAAGAGAAAAAGCTGTATTTTATTAATAGAGAACAAAACGTTAGAATTTGTAAGCTAAAGAAAGCTCTACGTGTTTCCAAAAATAAAATCAAGAAAGCCTTTGAATTATCCAAAACTCAGTTATTTTCAGATTTTAATAATAAATTAGATCTGATTGGAATTAAATTATTTAAAAGTAGTTTAGAAAATTGTAAGAGAAAGAAACCCTCTTGGACCACTCAGAATAAAATTTTTTCTTTAGCGTTATATAAAAATGGTCCAAGAGCATACAATTTTTTAAGAAAATGCATTTCGTTGCCTAGTAAATCTACTATCCAACAAATTTTAAGTGATTTACCTTTTGAAACGGGGATAAATGATTCAGTGTTTTCCAGATTTAAAGAAATTGTTAGAAAAATGCCAGAAATTGATAGGAATTGTATTTTAATGTTCGACGAAATAGCTCTAACCGAAAAACTCACTTTTGATACAGTTAATGACAAAATTGTTGGATATGTTGACTTGGGAAAAAAATTAGGTAGACGCCCAGAAGTAGCCGATCATGCTTTAGTTTTTATGATTCACGGTTTAAGAAGAGTTTGGAAACAGCCTATAGTTTAGCCTTAGTTTTATAAAAATGGTCAACATTTTGATAAGAGAAATTGTTCAATAACATATATGTACACTTTTTGTTTTGTTTTTATAGGAAACACCTGACGCCCATCAAAGTATGGTCCATTTTTACAAGAATGTGGGGAAACTAGTATTCATTTCACTTACAATTTTTCTTTATTAACACATTATGTATATATTACTGTATAATAAATAATTTAAATATATTTGTCTTATATTTTATTTCAGTGTAAATATTTTTTGTCTACATTTTTGTATACATTTTTTGGGGTTTTATAACTAAAAAAACTAATATATATGTTAAATACAATATTTTAATATAAATATTAGTTTTTCTTTTTAAAGTAATGAACCCCAAAAAATATAAATAAATAAAGATATTTAAATGAACCGCGGTTACGTTAACACTCTTCTTTTTTTATGCCTCTTACTGACAAATCAATCAGCCAGTGTAGTTCAAAAAAGATCCGTTCCATACTAATTCGCAGCACTACGTTTCCAAAAATTAACACAGAATCCGACCATCTTCTTTATTAGTTTATCTATGCTAGATAACTGGTACCAAAGATACCTAAAACAAATCATTCTTAAGCTTCCTGACTAATTTCTTTCGCCTTGCCCTTCTAGACCCTGGTCTTACATAGTTTCCGGGCACTATAATTTGATGCATTTTTTATAGTATCTACTTTTATTTCTAAAACTGTATTTATAATTCTTATTTTGTGATTTCAGTCTCAACTAAAAGCCCTTCCTAGTCGCCAAAGGCTGAATCTCACCTCCGACACAATCAACAGGACGAAAATAGCATACTTAGATAGTCCAATCACAAATATGCATCCCTCCCTAATGGAAACTCCTCTATCGATATCCAGAGAAAGGACGCCGCCATTTTCGAGCAATTCGAGCATCGCCTCTAACGGGCCCTCCGGATATGTGATGATTAAACCTTCAAGACCAAAGGTAATTTCTGTTCAATATATAACAAAATTCAGTACTTTTACGCGCGCATGCTGTATAATTAAGAGAAATGGTCCGGGAGTTCACATTGACTTTTAAAATATTGCTTTTACAATGACGTATGACATTTCTCATGAAAATCTTGAGAAATCACCTTCTTTCGAGTTTGGGTCCTAAATAATTTCCGATGTAATTGTTCCCAAACTTCTCTGTTGTGCCCACTGAGATAGAATAAAGAGGAGATGATATGAAGATGCTAAAGTGTCTGCGCCTTTGCATTACACTTTTACGTCATATGTCAAACTCAAGATAGTGTCAATTTTGGTGAGAATAAATGCCATTTTTTTTAAATAACTTCATTCCGTCAGTCTTCAAATATAAAATTTCTGACTTCAAATAAATCAAAATACGACTCAAGTCGCCATTTTATAGCCTACTTAGTTTATAGAGTAATCCGGCCCTGTGCCTAGTCCTTTGTTATTTTACACTTTTTGCTCCATAATCAAGTGGGTGTGTGTACCTACGTCAATTCATTTTAATTGTAGATTGTTATTCATCGTATAGTAACTACCTAAGTCTAAATTTTACCTGGTATTTTACAGGTCTGACAATTATTATTTTCCTATGTACACCTACCTAGACGACTTTTAACAAAACAATATGGTAAATATGGAGGTCAAAAATCTGGTTAATTGTATTTTAATTGGTGTTATTAGGCGATTTAATTTTCCACTTGGTGCATTTTTAATTAAAGCATTGTCAACGTTGATGATAAAAAAATTGTAGACCAAACAAGGTATGTAGAATGCTCGAGATAAAATCAAAATAATAAATCGAAAATTCATAACAAAATTATAACGAATAAATAATAATAACCATGACTAATGGTAGATGCGGTATTTGTGAGGGATCGTAATTCAATTTTTTTATGTTTTTGTATTAATAATAATAATTGTGAATAATTATTTTTTGGATAAGAGGAGTATTTACTTGGCTTTAGAGCAGAGCATGTAAGGTATTCGTAGTACCCCCACTTTTAAAATTTATTTTTTACTTATTCTGAACGAAAAAAATTTGTGCGTGTAGGCAAAGGTTAAATCTTTGCTCCTCTGAGTCACTTTTTTAAAATTTGAATCTGTTTTTTCTAAAAAAAAAATACAAAACTCGACTTTTTTTACCCATTTTCTCAATTTTTTTTTTTTTAGAAAAAACTAATTAGAATTTTGAACAAGTGGTTCCAGAGGAGCATAGATTTAACCTTTACCTACACGTTCATATTTTTAAAAAAATAGTCAAAAATGAGGGGCCTAGTATCAAAACCGGCAATCTCCAAATTTCAGTAAAATGTGTTGCATATAGCAGTTTTTTCGTCTCGTTGTGCACTATTGGAATATGTTTCTAGTTGGTAACAAAAACGGTTTTATCCCATATAAATTTAGTTTGGAAACTACTCATCAGAATCAAAACCGGCAATCTCCATATGACTTTCAGAATCAAAATCGGCAAACTACATGCCACCCAATCAGAATCGCGACATGTGATCAGCTGATCACATGAAATAGCATTTAAATAGCAAATACCTATTATGTTTGTTGCTTTCGTTTAGTCCATTGTGGTTGTTCATCCTGTTAAATCTTGTGTTGATTGTTGAGTTTTGCCTGAGAACCTAATGGAAGTGAATGCATCTCCTGCTGAGCCGGGTAAGGCCCGTAAAAGAAAACGTGATCCAGTCACATGGAAATGTAATGTTCGCAAGAAGCTCAGGTATTTTCTTTCTTTTCATACTGATAATAGAGTTGTATTGTCTAGTCTTCTTTGCAGATATTCTGCAAAACAGTTGCCACAATATCCAACATGTGGTCACAAAACGAAGGCTTTTCAGTGTTCTTCGTTAACCATGAAGGAAGTTAAAGACTTTCATGAAGCATTTTATGCGACAAAAAACAAGATATTGCAAGACTCGTTCATTCTAAAGCATTGCTCTGTTGATGTGTGCAAACGTCGCCGTCCGAAAAATGCAACACGAGAAGCCAAAGTTACCCATGTAAAATGTTTTGTGAGAAATTATTCCTCAAAAGCGAACGTTCCCGTATGCCAGTCGGCTTTTTTAAACATACTTGATATTACAAAACATCGTGTGAGCCACGTCATGAAGAGTTTTACTTCCAGTGGTCAAGCACCAATAGAAAAAAGAGGTGGAGATCGAAAAACTCCTAAATACGAAGACAAACAAGCGGCGGTTCAACAGTTCATCAATAGTTTCAAGTGCATTGAATCACACTATTGCCGCTCCAGTACAAAAAGACTATACCTTCCTTCAGATTTATCGATACAAAAAATGCACACCATGTATGATCAGCAGTGCAGTCCAGAAGAAAAAGTAAAATTGTCGTATTTTCGAACAATTTTCAACACAAAATATAATTTGAGTTTCACAACACCGCGAACTGACGTGTGTTCCACGTGCCTTGAATTGGCTGAAAGAATCAAACGTTGCGAAGATGAAGAAGAAAAGAAAAAGCTTTCAACAGACAAAAAAATTTACAAACTGAGAGCAGATGCTTTTTTCAATCTACTTAAAGAAGCTAGAGATGATATGGTAACCATATCTTTCGATTGCGAGAAGAACTTAGTTCTACCAATGGTGCCAGACCAAACAGCCTATTATTCAAGGCAGTTGTACCTCTACAACTTTACGATTGTAGAAGGTACATCAAAATCCAAGCTTAATCCAGAAAATGTTTTTTCGTACTACTGGACCGAAAATGAGTTCGCAAAAAGTTCCAATGAGGTTTCATCAGCTGTATATGATAGACTGAAAAAAATTGAGTTTGGCCCTCACCATACCACGGTTAGGCTTATGGCAGATGGATGTAGCGGCCAAAACAAGAATAGCACTCTTATAGGGATGTGCTCCAAATGGATAGCAAATAATGCCCCGTTAAATATTAAGAATTTGGAAGTCATCTTTCCCGTAGTGGGGCATTCCTTTCTTCCAGCAGACAGGGTGTTTGGTCACATCGAAAAGAACATTAAAAAACTGGAAGTAATAACCAAACCTGACACCTACATTGAAATCTTTTCAAAAATTGCGACTCCCATTCGTTTAGGTACAGACTGTACTGTTTACGACTGGAAAAAAAGCGTTAAAGAGGTACTGAAACCCCCAGGATCATGGCACTTCCAATTTAAAAATACGAAACGATTTTATCTGAAGATATGCCAGTCTGGAAATATTTTAATAAGAGGTGAAGTCCATTATAGGAGCGACTTGCAAACCTTTAAGGGATTCACAAAAAAAGGAAAACCAATTGGCATGATTAAACCAGATCTAATCAACGCCGGCCTGCCTCAGGTCAACAGTCTGAAGTTAAATGACGTGAACAAATTGCTGACCAAACACTTTGGCAAAAAGTGGAGAGATCTAGATGAACTGATGTTTCATAATGATATCGTTCCCAGCGAGGAAATGTTGGAGAGCCACACAGAAAATCCTGAAGAGTCGGAGGAAACCCAAGACAGAGAAGCTAATCAACTTGTTGATGATGAACCCTCTTGCGAATTCATTGCAGAGATTCCATCTGTATTGGTTTAATTTTTGATATTATTTTCTACTATGTTGTTACCTAAAGAAAAATACAGTTTTAGTTTAGCACTCACTTCGTCTTTCATTGCCTTTTTTCTCGGGTCTATTTATACATTTCGGTATCAAAACCGGCAATGTCCTACCTCTAGGAACAAAACCGGCAATCTCCATATTTTTGTATTATATTTTGGAAAAACCTTGTCAGTTCTAAGTAACAGAACTATTAGTTATTGTTCAGAATCGAGTAAACTACCGTTTTCAATAATCTCCAACTATCTAGCATAAATAATAAGGCAGCAGTAGTTATTCGTAAATATCTCTAAACTATGAAAGTGGGATATTGCCGGTTTTGATACTAGGCCCCTCAAATAAACTTTAAAAGTGGGGTACTACGAAACCCTTACATTGCAAGATTTTTCGTCTGTTAAATTTTTAGGAAATTAATATTTGTGAATGAGAACAATTGAGGCGTTGCTCGGAAAAACCTCATTAGTCCTATTTTGTCAAATAATAGATTTTGCCGCTAAAAATTACCTAACTCCCATATACACGTATACAAATAATCATTTCTTGTAAAAACCTTATAACTTCCCTAAAAACTTAGAATGAAATTTCACTGATCACGTAAAAATCTCACACGTCAATGTTGTTTCCTCTAAAAAAGTCACATGTCCATGACATGTGACAGTTACAGAAGAAATGCGATTCAAAGCACATGTTGTTTTTTGTGATTGAAGAACGTGAACACTGTTTTACCGAATTCTATAAAATGCATGACAAAAACGAACAAGACGCATACTTGGCTGGTCTAATAACAATCAATCATATAAACATACCCAGAAGACGGAATCGGGTAAACAATAAACCACATTGTGCTTCATATTCATACAAGGTGCGATGTTTTAATACAGAAAAGATGGTTTGTGTCAAAGCATTTGCCAGCATTCATGCAGTAACATTGCCTCGCCTAAAAAGAATTCAGTTGTCACTAGTAGAAAAAGGTTGTGCACCCAGAGATATGAGGGACAAACATACTTGCCGCCCTAGAAACTATAGCAAAGAAGCTACTATCCTCATTGCGAAAAAATCCAAATCAGCTGTACCTACCATCCGAGTTAACAGTGAAAGATATGCACAAGACTTTTCTACAGGAGTACTACCTTAACGTTCCCTACAAAATGAACTAGAAAATCTTTAAAACTAAATATAATATTAAGTTTGGATATCCCCGTTCAGACACATGTGCAGAATGTAACAAATATCAACATACTTTGAGCAATAAGAGCATTTCGGACGCCGATAAGGTTTCTTGCAAAATGCAAAAAGACCTTCATTTAAGAAAAGCTGCAGCATTCACCAGCATAAAACGTGCCTACAAAGAACAGGCTAGAGTAGGCGAAATTTCTTGTATTACTTT